CTGTATTTGCTATGGAGTTACCTGCCTGCCACTCCAGGCTACAGACTGTTGAAAGAGACCAGTGATGTGATGTGATTCAACAGCAAACAGCAACATAAAAAAACCCAAACAAGCCACCTAAAAAACCAACCAAACACAAACCCCATCATCTCCAGCAAGTCACACACGGGGTTTTTTGGGGTCCCCATGATGTTTTTTGGGGTTTTGCCCCTCACAGGGGTTTTTTGGGGTCCCCGTGCTGTTTTTGGGGGTCCCATCCCTCACACTCAGATTTTGGGGTCCCCCCGTGCAGGTGTCAGTGTTTTTCAGGGTTCCATCCATCCCTCACAGGGGTTTTTTGGGGTGCCCGTGCTGTTTTTGGGGGTCCCATCCCTCACACTCAGATTTTGGGGTCCCCCCGTGCAGGTGTCAGTGTTTTTCAGGGTTCCATCCATCCCTCACAGGGGTTTTTTGGGGTGCCCGTGCTGTTTTTGGGGGTCCCATCCCTCACACTCAGATTTTGGGGTCCCCCCGTGCAGGTGTCAGTGTTTTTCAGGGTTCCATCCATCCCTCACAGGGGTTTTTTGGGGTGCCCGTGCTGTTTTTGGGGGTCCCATCCCTCACACTCAGATTTTGGGGTCCCCCCGTGCAGGTGTCAGTGTTTTTCAGGGTTCCATCCATCCCTCACAGGGGTTTTTTGGGGTGCCCGTGCTGTTTTTGGGGTCCCATCGCTCACACTCAGATTTTGGGGTCCCCGTGGTGTTTTTTGGGGGTCTGTCCATCAATCACACACAGATTTCGGGGTTCCATCCGTCCCTCACAGGGGTTTTTTGGGGTGCCCGTGCTGTTTTTGGGGGTCCCATCCCTCACACGGTATTTTTGGGGTCCCCCCATGCAGGTGGCGGTGTTTTTCGGGGGTCTCTCCATCCCTCACAGGGGTTTTTTGGGGTCCCCCCGTGCAGGTGTCAGTGTTTTTCGGGGGTCTCTCCATCCCTCACAGGGGTTTTTTGGGGTCCCCCCGTGCAGGTGGCGGTGTTTTTCGGGGGTCTCTCCATCCCTCACACTCAGATTTTGGGGTCCCCGTGCTGTTTTTGGGGTTCCCATCCCTCACACTCAGATTTTGGGGTCCCCCCGTGCAGGTGGCGGTGTTTTTCGGGGGTCTCTCCATCAAGAAGGACGAGGAGGTGCTGAAGAAGAACTGTCCCCACATCGTGGTGGGGACCCCGGGCCGGATCCTGGCGCTGGCGCGGAACAAGAGCCTCAACCTCAAACACATCAAACATTTCATCCTGGACGAGTGCGACAAGATGCTCGAGCAGCTCGGTGGGGCTGGGGTCCCTGGGGGGGTCCCTGGGGGTCCCTGGGGGGTCCTGGGGGGTTCCTGGGAGGTCCTGGGGGGTTCCTGAGGG